TCATCTAGATCACGGGTCTCTTTAATTTTGCTGATTACTGTAGAGATGTGGGGGATTCTCTGGTCGGCCCATAACTCTGCTATTGCCCTTCGCGCTGTCAGGTTGATCCGGGCGGTTAATTTGTTTTCACTTCTCGTGAGGGAGTCTAGTGGTTTGCTAAGGAGCATAGTCCACGGTTGTGCGGCCACAGGTTTCTCAATTATCGTTTCTATAAGGTCGCTAACCTCCTCCCATAGTGGTTTAATTTTGGGACACGTCCACCAACAATGTAGGTAGCGGCCGGCTTCTCCACATAGATTCCAGCACCCGTCGTCCGGTTTTAGACCCATCTTGTGAAGTCTGTCTGGTGTCAAGTACCAACGGAGCATCGTTTTATATGCCTGTTCTTTGTGCGTGACACACACAGTAAGAGAATTTAGTGCTTCCCATATGTCGGCCCAGTCGGTCGGGTCCTCCGGTGCTCCCAGATCCCTTTCCCATGCGGCAATATAGGTTAGATTGACTTAGGAGATGTGGGTGGTCAATGCGGTGTAGATGGCGGAGATTTGGCCTGGTTGCAGGGGGGCCGCTAGGCATTGTTTCTCAAATGCTGTCGGTGGTGATGTACCTGCTTGTTTAATCAGCGGTTGCTGCGCTAGGTCTCGGAGTTGTATATAGCGGAAGTGATCAGCTGTAGTTAAGGCTCCCGCGTTTGGGAGTTCGTTGTATTTGAAGATCTCACCTCGCTGGTACATGTGGCAGAGTCGTGAGATGTCTCGGTGGTCAAACGCAAGGAAATGCTTTTCTGTCATTCCCGGGGGGAAAAGTTTGTTGCGGTAAATAGGGGTCATCGGGGAGAGAAAGGAGGACAGGTCGTATTTAGTATTGAGGTTGTCCCAGAGTGCGATTGTATGCGTAATTGCCGGGGAGGTGGGTGGAGGAAGTGGGTGGTGCATCCGTGGTACCTAGATGTATGAGGAGGGCTGGTCCCAGCCCAGGATGTCATGTTCCAGATCTACCCAACGTTTAGCGCCGGGAGGGGCATGCCATTGTTGGATATGGGCCAATTGGGCCACGTGGTAATATTGTTTAAAGTTGGGTAGTCCCAGTCCTCCTCTAAGTCTAGGGACGTACATTGTAGTTCTGCGGATCCTGGGTTTCTTGGCTTTCCATATAAATTTGTCTATGGCTGTCTGGAGACGTTTGAAGTCCGAGTTCAGTAATGGGACAGGTAGTGTCTGAAAAAGATAGAGGAATCTCGGCAGGAGGTTCATCTTGATTGTGGTGATCCGTCCTATCCATGAGATCCCCAGTTTGTCCCATCGTTGGAGGTCCGTGTGTGCTGTTTTGAGAAGTGGCATATAGTTTATTCCATATGTATCTCTAAGGTCCGGGGATAGCTTGGTGCCCAAATAGGTAATGAAGGACTTTGTGATGCGGAACGGGAAGGAGTTGTGGAGCAGTTGTAGCTGTGGTTCAGACAGAGCTATAGGCATTAAAGTGGATTTAGTTAGATTGATTTTATAGCCTGAAAGAGTGGAGTATTTGGCTATGAGGTGCAGTGTTGCGTGCAAGGAGGATATGGGGTCCATTAGAGTGAGGAGAACATCATCGGCGTACACCGCCACTGTGTACGATTCTCCCCGAATAGTAGGGTGAAGGCGGATAGCTTGGAGCAAGGGCTCCAGTGCGATTGCAAAGAGGAGGGGGGGGATAGGGGGCAGCCCTGTCTGGTCCCGTTGTTAATGGTGAACGTTTGGGCGTTAATGTGTGGAAGTAGGAGCGTTCCCATGGGGCGATGGTAGACCGCCCATAGGATATTCAAGACTTCAGGCGGGAATTGCAGGTGTGCGAGTACTCCGTACATGAATGGCTAGAGAAGGCGATCAAATGCCTTCTCCGCGTCCAGCGAGAGCACCACCGAAGGGATGTTCCTGTGTGTGGTGTACCAAATCGTGTCAAAGGCTCTTCTGGTGTTGTCCGCCGCCTGCCGTGTAGGGATGAATCCGACCTGGTCTGGATGAATCAGCGTGGAGAGGTGTGGGTTGAGGCGGTTGGTCAGTGCCTTCGTGAGTATTTTTAGATCGGTGTTTAGTAGGGAAATTGGAAGATAGTGCCCCGGGTCTAGGTGTTCTTTTCCAGGTTTGGGTAAAAGGCAAATGTCGGCCGCCAGCATATCCGGGGGGAGTGGGTGGCCTTCCAGCATCGCGTTAAAAACTTTGCATAATTGTGGTATCAGGATCGTTTGGAATGTCTTGTAGTAGACGGTTGTAAAGCCATTCCTGGGTTTCTGTGTCTTGAGGACCAAGGCGTTCTCCTCCGCCTCTATGGGCGCTTCCAGCCTATTTTGTTCCCGTTTAGATAGGGTGGGTAGGTGTAGGGGTTTCAGGAAGGAGAGTATGGCTTCCGTGTGTGCCGCCTCTCCCGCTGATGTCAAGGCCGTATGGTTGTATAAGTCGGTATAATATTTTAGGAATTCACGGGCTATAATTTCCGGATCTGTTGACAGTTCTCCGGTTTTGATCCTGATTTTCGAGATTTTCTTGTGGTCCTGCTTTTTCCGGAGGCAACGTGCTAAGAGTGAGTCAGCCTTGTTGCCTTTCTCGTAAAAGCGTTGCTTAGACCACATTAGGTTCCGTGCAACATCTGCCGCCAAAAGTTGGTTGATCTGCTCCCTTGTGGATTTGAGTTGCGAGAGTAGGGGTTCGGAGGTTGTTTTTTTTTGTGGAGGGTTTCAAGCCTGTCGAGGGTATTCAAGAAAAAAGGGGAGTGGGGAGGGGGGGAGAAGGGCTCCGAAGGGCCCAAATTGACGTGTGATGTTCGTCTGCTTGGGGTGCGGTCTGGGCCAAAGGGACTCCCGCGGCCCGGCCCCGCCTGCGCAGGGGGCGACCTGCTGTAGACGTGGGGCGGTGCTATGGGAGATGTGCGCGTGTTGAGTGTCCATATGCCTGAACCTGGGGGTCATGCACGTGCAGCCCGTATGGTTGTTGCTGTGGTCTCTGTCTGTCTTATCGTGGTGAGGGTGCCGTGCCCGATATCCCCTCGGCCCAGTGTGTGTGGGGCGGGAGCGGTGGCCTTAGAGTAGGGACGGTGTTGCCGCTCTCGGCCCAACGGCCTGCAAGAGGGGGGCGGTGTGGGGGGGCGGTGTGAGTACATGTACCTTGTGTTCCAGTACAATATGCTAAGAGGCGTGATGTTGTATGCGCCCTCCCGCGACCCCTAACCCCATTGTGGCTCGTCCATCTAGAAGCCACCCCGCATTCCCCAATGGAACATTTTAACAGTCTCGTGTAACGTTGCCTGTAAGCAATATAAAACCAAACCAAACTTTTCAACATTGTAGGAGGAGAGGAAGCAGCGGTCTCGTCAGGTGTCTCCTGCCTCACCTGTGGTAAGCCATGTTCTCTAAACCCATCAACCCCGGTTGCTACTGGGTTACGTCGTCGGTGTCATCTCTGTCACAGGAAAGGGTTGATGGCTAATCCCTCGGTACCAGATCTGTCAGGGGGGGGGGGCTGTGCAGTGGGGTGCTATGGGGCCGACCAGGCGTAGATGTCCTTACGATTACTCAATGTTCCCTGTGTCATACATCCACCGCCTCGATGTCGCAGCCGTGTCTGGGATGAGTTAGGTCAGGAAGGTAAACGTAGGGCGAGTGCTGTAGTAGCCATATCCGGCTCGGGGTGGGGGAGGTAGGTCCAAGCCAGTTGCCTGGCGTAGGCCGCCAGGGAGGCGGTGGTCAGTCGGCAAGTGGTGGAAAGGTGGGTGTGCCGCTCCCCGTGCTGGGTGTGGGGGTCCTGGTCATGCTAAGCTAGTTGGGGCCTGGGTATAAAAGGCTTATAGTACGTCTGAGTGCCCTGTGGAAGGGGCATGCTCGTCTCCTCCATCCCGGGGGGGGTCACTGAGTGCGTCCAGCTAGGGGGAATAACTTCCATGGGTCCGGGTCGGGGGGGTCCCTAGTCATCCCGGGGTGCTCCCAGTGCTCTAGATGGTGTCCTTAAACAGTCCTGGTGGACAGCAGGGGGGCGTCAGATGGGCGTCGGGAAAGGGGCCAGCGGAGGCGAGCCGGGCGACCGTCTCGCCGGTGCATTACGGGGTCCCAGGCCCCCTCTTCCGCTGCCCACCAGGGGTCGGGGGCGTCTTGTCCAGCTTCCCACCCCCCTCCCTCCTATCGGTCCGGGATATACACGGGGGAGTGGAGTCAGTCCCGTCCTGTCGATGGGGCAGTGGGGTTGTATCCCTGTCCTCCAACCACCCCCTCCCTCCCCCCCGGTAGACATCCCCCCGTGCCCCCCCCCCTGCCCCGGTCCAGGCGGGCAGTGTCCCGCGTTCTGGGCTGAAAAGGTTTGCGTCTATGGGAGACCCCGTATCAAATACTTGCTGTAGCCAGGTCAGAGTCATAGTCCTCCCGGAGTTGTCCCTCAGAAGGTCGCACCTGCAGGGGACGCGTGGCAGGTGGCGTTTGATGCGGAAAGCCTGTGACCCGGGTACCTCCCAGCTCGCTGTCCATACCGCGGGTGAGTGGGGATGTAGTCCCTGTCTAGTGCGCTGCCAGTCCAGCCTAGGAGGCCACGACGTCCGCCTGGCCACGCGTCCCCCCGGTCCCGCTGCCCCGGGATCCCCGGGAGGGCGGTGGCAGCGGGTCAGTTGGTGTCGCTGGTCCCGATGCGTGGTGAAGAGAGTTCGGACTCCCGGGGTGCAAGGGAGACGTGCTGCAAGTGGTCAAGCGTCTAGTCCCCGGGTCCAGCTGTGGCCATGGGGGGAGAGTCCGGACTGGAGCTCCCAATATCCGTGGGGACCTGGCTATCTCGCCCGCGTGGGCGTCCAGGGGGGAGTCCCACAACCAGCCGTGCAGGGCCCGGGGGCAAAAAAAATAAAAATTTTTTTTTTAAATTAGAAAAAATTAGTTTAGTGTCCCGTCCGTTTGGAGGGTCCCTGCAGGCCCCACCAGCGGGACCCTGTCAGAGTGCGTAGAATCAAGGGGCGAGGGGCCGCTGCTCCTGTCTGGCATCCTCCTGAAGTTAGTGCGGTGTGGCATCCTGCTGAAGGGGTGTCGCGTTCTGGTGCAAGCGGTCACCGGTCCTGGTGGGTAAATTGTTGCTTGGCGGTCGTTGTGGAGCCTGGTCGGTGCTGGGGTGCGCTGTAGTGGGTATCTGCGGTAGGTCCAGCTGGTCCAGGAGCTGGTCTTCTGGCTTCATGAGGGAGTAGAACCTGCTGTCTTTGCGGATGATGATCTTGAAGGGATGGCCCCAGGCATACCAGAGGCCATGTCGGGTAACGTGTTGTGTGAGTGGGCGCATGTCTCTTCTGCGTTTCAGGGTGGTTGGTGCCAGGTCCTGAAACAGCTGGACCAGAGCCCCCTCCACCTCCACAGGGCTATCACGGGCTGCTTTCATTATGCGCTCTTTGATGTGGTAGAAGTGTAATCGGACGATGATATCCCTGGGGGTGGCCATGTTGGTGCTGGGAGCTCGTAACGCTCTATGAGCCCGGTCCATAAGGAGGTCGGCAGGTGTAGCGTCCGGGAGAAGGTTTTTAAAGACCTCTGTGAGGGTATCGGTTAGGAGGTCCGTGGAGACGGATTCCGGAATGCCCCTCACTCTGATGTTGTTCTGACGTGTTCTATTATTCAGGTCCTCATTTGTATCTTCAAGTGAGCGCAATTGGTCACGGAGAGTTTGTAGCTCGCTCCCATGAGCTAGTACCGTTTCTTCAGTGGCCGCCATTTTGTCTTCCGCGGCCTGCGCTCGAGCGGAGAGGTCCGCCATGTTTTCTAGTATGAGGCACAGCCGTTTTTCTAGTTCGTCGGCCACAGATTGTTTGAAGTCGGCCAGGAAACCCCTCATGTCGCTCCTGGTGAGGGGAGCCTCCGTGCGCTCCGAGTGAACCTGACTGCTCATTTCAGAGTCCGAATCTGTCAGGGGGGCCTCTGAAGATGGCGCCCGGGCTTGCTCCGGCTTCTGCCTGAAGATTGGCGCCACTGCGGAGTTACGGGCTTTTTCCCTGCCGCCCATGGAGAGGGTGATCGCGGGCCACAGCAGGGGTAGGAAGGGCTGGGTGCAGGGTGTGCGGGGGGCTCAGTTGCTGTTGATGGCTTCGGATGCAGGCTAGGCCTTTGCGGAGCTAAGGGGTTATGCTGCCATCTTCGTGCAGGGTTAGGCTCCGCCTCTCCAAATAATTGTTTTTAATACTGGAGAAATAAAAAATGTAAACCACTCATGTCTCTAGCCACCCCAAGCCTTATAGGCACCAGATTACTAAAATAGAAGATACACATGTTCGACCCACCACCACTACTACTGACATAAAAATAAAAAAGTCCACTCTTGTTACACTGAACTCTACAAAGTGGTTAAGGATGATCCACGGGATGTTGTCCAGCAGATCAGGGTGGCGTGGCTCTGACAGTTCCCTCTGTATAAACCCCACACTCCAGGTTTAAAGTGCTCAGTTTTCTGTGCATTTCACTAAACATTTGGTGTTGCCTTTCATTTCCTGCCCGATGGTATTTTAGATATTGACTTGGATTATAAGTATTGTCACTTCATTCCTGAACAATTCCTGTATGGATTCCTCAACCTATGGTGAACATGTCCTGCTAACCTAATGCCCAATGAGACCTACTTAATGCCCTGATCACAGATAAGAAAAAAAGTTGGCTATTTCTTCAACCAGCTCTGGGAAGAGGCCATCTAACCAATTTAATTCAGACCTTGCTTGGAATTGATAGAAAACGTTAGACATAACCCTATACTATTTTCCTTCATCGAAGCATGGAAACATGATGGTTCTACTTAATCTTCATTGGCAATGCTCTAGATTCCTCACATTCTTTTCTAATTTACACTTCCATAATAGCCTGTCTGATCATCTTTTTCATTCCTGGCTTAAGGGTTCCCTATTCTGTGTTGGAGATTGTTTAGATATTCACAGTCAGAAAACACTATCCTTATCACAATTATGGGACAAGTTAGCTACACTTCAGATAACCCTTTTTACTGTTTACAAATTAGTAGCTACAACTCTTCAGTTTCTACCACACTTACATGACAATGCCTGGACCTACACACTAGACTCTCGTATTTGGAACCCTTCCCGATCTGACTACTATATCAAGTTACTTTACTTTATAACATTATGAGACCAGTCCTGGACCATTCTGACACAACTGGCCATGTTCATAAATGGACAACATCACTCCCCTCCCTTTTCACAGTTGGCATCCTTACTGCAACAAACTACTTAAACTGAGATTCATCAATGGATAGCATTACTTATACCTAGCCCATGACTACCAACAACTACTGAATTAGCTGTGAGCTATTTATTTCTTTGATTTGGGGAATGTTCTTAAATAAAGTAATATTGTGAAGAGATGTTTTGATTGCCTAATTTTGATTTTTTTTTTTTAATTTTAAATGCTCTTTAATGAAGCAATATTCACTTGGGTTGTTCGGCTAAGTTACCCCGGCACCCACTATGGTTTCTTCCATTTGCTTCACATTTAGTAAATTGTTTGTGAAAATAAGATTGATTATCAGTTGATTGCTCGAATGTAACTTCTAATTTTTTTTTTGTGTAACTACTGTCGATCATAAAAATGCATCAGCAATGAATAATATTCTAAGCATTCAACAATTATCGACGCAATTCGGAATATCAATAATATGAAAGAACAATGAAGCAAGATAAAGTGCCGCCCAGTGATGGGAGTGAGCGCAGGCCTTATCTTTCTGCATTTGTATCCATTTTTTGTATCACTCAGCCTTGTTACAATGCAGCCGCCCATCCCATGTGTTCCCTATTAAGGGTTAATAATATATAGAGGTGTATATAAAAATACCCCTTTCTGTCTCATTAGAGATCTTTGCCAGAAGCTCAAGGAAGCAAGGTGAATGGTTAGAGTTAGGACCCACCTGGGGGGGTCTGCCTTGACATTGGCAGGTGGGCATATCCTCTCATGGCCATTGGAGGTAACTAAGAAACCTCCATTTGTTTAAAAATGCATAGGGATTAAGGAGAGAGCGCAGGTAACTTGTTTTTCTTTGGTTTTTACTATATATTGGGGCTGATGTGTACTGTAGTCTTTGTTGCCGCCCAGTGATGTGAGTGAGCGCAGGACTTATCTTTCTGCAAGATAAAGTTTAGCTTGATTTTCATAGAAGAATATGTTGGACTGATACTGCAATGCTAACTGAAAACTTGAGGCTGGGATTACCTGCAAATTCAGAAACACTGCAGTTCCGACACAGATACAACGACACTGAATACAGGCCAGGTCCAACTAGGAAAACATTATTTTATAGGATTGCACGTAAGTCCTATTCATGCACTTACAATGCGACATTAACAATTGGACTTAGTCGAAAACACAAGTTATGCGGTATTCTAACTTTTCTGTTTGCTACCAAACATCTTTAAAATGCAAGATGTTTTCTTTAGTTTGAAATTTTTAACACGCTCTCGATATTTTTAGCTTGAGTCATTGACATTTTCCAAAGCCAGAGGCAAGAGAGACAGAGTTCTGATGTGAAGTGACAAGATCATAATAAACACTCACACTTTCTGAATCTAACCATGGAGTGTTTTGTCTGCATTTGTGCTCAAAGCATTGCTGCTTGGCCGCAGCTGCAAGAAACCAGATCTTTAGAAATGCCTTATATACTTTCATTACGGAAATTACAACAAGATATTTACAAAAAAAAAACAAAAACACAAAGTAAGTGAAAGTGTAGAAAAACGAGACTTTTCCAGTTTCTTGATTAAATGTGATTAAATGCTTACGGCATCTTGATTACTTGAATAGAAAAAAAATGAATGCAAGTCGCTCTTGTAGGTGAATGGCTGACACAGACCTTACAGTAAATGTATCTATAATTACCACTTTTTGCAGGTTTGACAGTCTTTCTGTATGGAGATGTCATTGCACTTTTTAAACCCTCAGAGACAGTTCCTGATAAAACAATGGCTAACTGAGAAATAACTAGCACACAGCAGATGGTGCAGAGCGTGCACTTGTGTCATCCTCATTTACTGAAGAGCAGATCTGAACACATTTGGAGACACCTGGTTTCTTCTTCATTGCGCAATACCACATTGACCTATTGTCTTAGAATGTCAATAACCTTTAAACTTCAACAACATCTTTTAAGCCATTGGTATTTCTTTATTGCACTCTATCATGTTACTGATATGGAACAGTGGTGACATTTACCTATAACTTCACTAAATGATTAACATATTTTACAGTGTGTAATGCTACATGACCCCTGTTGTAAAAAATGTGTGCTATAGTCATGTCGGACTTATAAGCCCCTCATCCCACAAAGATAAGGCAGTTTACAAAGAGGTATGATGCTGAATCAGAGCAACGGTTAGAATTCTCTTAGCTCTTCTCACCATCTTATGTGAAACATGAAGGGGGGGCATTAAACCGAGACCTTGCTTAGGCCCTTCAAAGATCTCAATCCTTCTCTTTGCTGAATGACCAGTAATAATAATAATAAGCCAAGTTAATTTTAAATCATGTTCAATAAAAAAAAAAAAAATTAAAGATGTAAAATGTATTTCACATTATGTCTAGAATATGTTGGGGTAACAATCAGGGTCAATAAAGGTTTAAAACTATCTTGCACCATGAAGTAGCTCTGTGCCCAGAATAACAGTTCTCAGTTCTAACAGTGCTATATTTCACCCCATAAGGCAATACCTTATAGCAGGGGTCCTCAAACTCCGGCACCCGAGATGTTGCTGAACTACATCTCCCATGATTCTTTGAATTACATAGATAGCCAGAGAATCATGGGAGTTGTAGTTCAGCAACATCTGGGGGGCCGGAGTTTGAGGACCCCTGCCTTATAGTTTTTAAATTGTTATAGGATAGTGCCAAGAAAGTTTTGGATGACAGAGTTACTATGAAAGACTTCTAATGTACTTTTACATTACCATAACGAGCAACGTAACCTTTTCTATGACTGTCTAATATGTTAGTAAAGTAAAATAGAAAAATCTGATCAAAAAGGAAAAAGATAATCACTGCAAATAAATCAGACAAACCAAAAGGGTGTGAAAATGAGCTCATATGAATATTATTTTATTTTATATTTTTTTTGCTTGACATATTTTTACTGCTCTATTTCATTGGTAATTTTTCACTTCATCTGTAAATAAAATTAACATTTAGTGATTGTCTCCCGGCAATCGATTACCTTTTATCCCATCTCTTTTTTTGGTGCCACAGGTGGAATTTAGAATCACAAATCAAAATATAAATGTTCATACATAAATACAAGGTTCTTGATTCGGGTACATTTTGGCTCAGAATTCAGAAATTCGACTGATCACCTGTTCGGCTCTAATTCAGACTAACTGCAGTTCAGATTTAAATGAGTCTTCAAGTCTAATTCTGATTATAGAATTAAACAGTATTATTTATTAAATTATTCTTTATTTGAATTATATTGGTACATATATTTATAACATATCACATGTAAGATTTCACAGGTAAATAACTTTTTTGGTTAATATTAGTAATTTTTTTGTTGCAGGTACTGAAGTCTTGGGAGATTTCACGAAGGAACAATGAATTAGCCAGAGAAAACAATGCATTTATTTTCATTTCAATGGCGTTGTCAGTATGCAAAATGGTAATTTCTGTTGCATCCTACCAAATGCACTGTTTGGTGTGGGGTGACCTCGCAGGAAGTTATCGGGCAAAATTGTAAATACAAGAGTTTCAAAGATAACTAATGTAATCAATGTAATGTAATCAATGTAATGTAATGTAACTAATGTAATGTTCCAACTTTCTCTTTGTCTTATCTTCCTAGCACTGTTAGCTCTCCCTCTCATGATCTCATCTTCAGTAGTGCTTCTGCCATGATAACATTAGCTGTCTATAAAATATTGCTAATTTTATGAAATGTCAGCTACTCCATTACCTCTCAGCAAACAGTGTGCACATGTGTAAATCATCAAAATACTGATAGACTCCAAACATGTCAGCTACTCCTGACTCCCTAATAACTCTCAGCATACAGTGTACACAGAGTTAAAGCAGCAGGATACTGATATACTCCTTATTACCTTTGCAGCTGGCGATATAACTAATCTGCAGTGGTAGCATGGAGCCAAGAAGTAGCTGACATGGTTAACAGAAGAAGAATCATATCAGTCCTCACAGTCAAAGCCCCAGTCCTGCAGTTTTAAGCTTCACAACTTTTCAAGTACTTGGCACAGCATGGGTGTCTCAGGTCTCAGCTACAGAGTGGCTTAACAGTTTAAAGAAGATGGTAGGTATGTGCAGTAGGAGTTATTAAACCTTTTTTTTTTTTTTAAAGGCAGAACAGTGCTGTGTGACAGAAATGTTCCCCCTCCCCTTGTCACCCCTTGGCTACAATATCTTTATTTATATTAATGATATATATAAATAATTACTTTTGCTTGCACATTAGGTCTCCCCCACCGGCTGATGTCAGCGGGGGAGGAGCGTGGGGAGAGCCTGACCCACGCCAAGGCACATCGGCACTAGATTCAGGTAAGTAACTGAAGGGGTTATAATCCCTTCTGGTCCGAGGGAGGGGGACACTATAGGAACCTGTAGTGACAGGAAAATGGCATTGTTTTCCTGGCACTATAGAATCCTTTTAACTTGTAACAATCTGGATCTGACAGAAGGATCTTCCTGCACACGCATTGAATTTAATTTCAAGATCATGGTGGAAACCTATACTTTATAGTTTCTAAATGATCTATAGCTTGTTTAATAGCAAAAATAAATTATAACAGGTCTACATAAAAAAAAGGAAAGGGAAAAAAAGGAAAATTATTAACCAGACATACTGTAAGTAAACACAGCATATTTTATACAAATAAACCATGTATAAAACAGATCCCCCCCCCCTCCCCAACCCCTCCGAGGCATAACTAGAAACCATGGGCCCTGGTGTGAAAACTGCCCTGGGGCCCCCCATACATCTACCTCCCACCACACACGTCCCCGCCCTCCCACACATCCCGGCCCCCCCACACATGCAGACAAACAGATAAACATAGACACACAAACACACATACATGTAGACACACACATACATACAGACACACACATGCACACAGAGACCCATACATACAGACATACATCCAGACACACATACATACACACACACATACAGACACACAGACATACACACATACATACAGACATGCACATGCACTAACAGACACACAAATACACGCATATACACACACTCACAGACATATACACACATACAGACACACACACATTCAGACACACACACATACACTCACACACACATTCAGACACACACATACACATACACACACACTCAGACAAACACATTCAGACACACACACACACTCACACACACACACACACACTCACAGACACACACAAATGATTCATATTTTTAAAATTTACAAATTTACACCTAGCCTCCCTACCTGGAGAGCTGGTGTTGATCTGTTCCTGGGGTCCATTGGGGCTTCAGTGCGGCGGGCGGCTGTGTTCCCGGCAGAGACGGTGAGGGAGCGGTGTTCTCCTTGCTCTGCTTCCTTGTGCCATGCAGGCCGTCTACTGATGCCAAAAGCCTGAATATGATGGCATAATCCGGCTCCCGGTATTGGCAAATGGTGTGCGAGGGAGCAGAGCAGGGAGAACACAGCCCCTTGCTGTCTCTGCTGGGAACACAGCTGCCCACCGGGGGGGTCCATTAGGTGGCCAGCAGGCCACCTCTTGGGCCCCCTCATGACAGGGAGAACACGGGGGGCGGTATTCTGCCCCGGATTTCTGGTCTGGCTTGGAAGTGGTCTCTTAGTGAACACTTCCTGACAGACCGCTCGGCCACGCTACACACAGGCAGGAGGGGAGCGGCACAGCTCTCCCCTCCTGCCAGACAGGAGGGCAGCCACGACCCCTGGAGCGAGGGGCCCCTGCGACCGTGGTAGGTACACCACTGCCCCCCCCAGTCTTTGCTCAACAGATCTCACAATTTGCGTATATCTACCTGTATGCATCAAGTTCTTGAATGCATCAATAATTAGCTAGCATCAATATTGCTGGGGCTTTTATTGGGGCAGTTATTGTTTGTACAACAGTTAGTTAGCCAGAGGTTTATTATTCTTACCAATCAGCTGATATGCTTTTGTGTTCATCGATCCATTTGGCTGGCTAAGCTTTATTTGAGTCATATAATATTCCAGAGGCTCTCTGCATGTTGTATTTGCCAACCCAGAGCAAATATGATTTCATTAACCTTTCGAGATTTATAACGTTCAATAACAACTGCGGACAAGATTCAATCATGTATTTCCTGCACAGTTATGTATAAATAGCAATGACACAAATTTGTTATTTAAAACTATTGAGAATCAAATAATGTTTCACATATATTCTCTTAGAGTAAATGTATTCAGCTTTAAATTATTTAGCAGGACTGCCTCATTATCAGCAGAATTAAAATAGGTCTCAGGCTTTAAATAAAGCAGAGCCACGTGAAATGTGCATTAGCTTGATTACTTTTACAAAATGATATATCATTTCAGAATTTAAAAAGTATGTTCTTTTCCAAACAGAAACATTAATTATAACTTGTTCAGCTACATATGGACACAACCTACTTACTCTGCAAGTACAATGTAACTGGATCCATGCAAACCCTTAACAGCTAGAGGTAATTTAAGTTCAGCGAAACCTACGTATATGCTTTAGTTAAAATATAAAAGCTGATATTCAGTCATACAGTAATCCTTTTTATATCACCATTATTTTTATGTGATTGTTGGTCTCAGCTTGCCCGTGGCAAATACACTGGCTCTATTTATGTCTGCGTAAAAGCTTCTAAGACATCTTTTGAAAAGACATGTAATTTTTGATATTTTAAACTTTGATTTTGTAGACGGAAGAATGGATTGATAATTGAAAACTATCTTTTCTGAACTACTAAAGAGGTAAAGGGACACTACCGGCAACCAGATCACTTCATCTCATAGAAGTGGTCTGGGTGCACGTTCTCTGTCCCCCTTAGTCCTGCAATGTAAAACATTGACATTTTAGAGAAACTACAATGTTTACATTGAAGTATTAAGACTGCCTCTACTGCTTGTCTACCAGACAGCCACTAGAGGTGATTCTTAGAGTTTCACAGAGTTTGGTTCTGTGAAACAACTCTAGACGTCCTCATGCTCTGTATGAGGACATCCAGCGCCAAAGAACACCCCATCCAGCAGAGCAATGCTTTCCTATGGGGAAGGCATAATGTATGTGTGGCACTCACCATGTGTGTGCATTATGTCCCCAGCTGACGTCAGAACAGGTGGAGTGCGACCCAGTTCTCAGGGACAAGTGAATACATTACATTAACTATTTAATACACTTATCAAAAGTGTATTACACTTTAGATAAAGCCTGTTCAAGGTGAAATGCGTTAAGTGTACTGTAATACTATGTTATAACTGTATTTTATCTTTTATCTCTGATTTTATTGTTTGTTTGTTTTTTACTAATAAAAGTACTTTTTTACAGGACCTAACACTCTGCTGCTGGATTCCTGAGCTATATATCCTTGGTGGGGATAATACCATCTAAGCCTATTGGATTGAGCAAACCTCATTTTGCTCTATCACACGTGAGTAGGTTCTTACTACTTTTAGTATGTATTACACTCTATTTTTATGGTACACACTATTGTAGTCTTTTCTTTTATATATTTCCACGGACAAAAATGCAAATCACCTATATCCCAGATTGTGGATCATACTACTTCCCGCAATATTTCTGGAGCCAATACCTAGGCTCCATCATATGTGAGTGTACACCTGTCTATATACCTACCCTTATTAGCTCAACATACCACCTTATATACTTTTATTTATCTTTTATATTTCTATGAAGTATACCTTTTGCCACAAGGACAACCTGAAGAGCCTGCACTACACTATAGCCAGAGGTGGGGGTCATTCCGGCCAGGCATTCAAGTTGGAGCTGTATTTGAGCTCCCTGGAAGTGTAAGTGCACAATTTTACTTACCCATAATCCATTTAAGAAATTTTTAACCTGCTACACTATCAGTTCTTTCTGTTACTCCTTTTGTCGCTACATACATTTCTTAAAGGACATTTCAGGTGCTACACCTTCTTTTTCTGTTTTATCTTACCCCTTATCAGACAAGGTAGACTCCGCATTTGGTGATTAAGCTGCCTTTGAACTATATTAGTATTGTGCTAGCACTAAATTTTTTTCTGTTTTCATAAAATATAATGGCTTATATTTGACCAATAATCTGGATCTCGATTAAATGACCGACTGAGGGTAAAAGGGGAAAAATAAGGACTGCAGTAAAGTTAGGTAAACTATAGGTGATTAGTGATGTCCCGAACGGTTCGCTGGCGAATAGTTCCCGCCGAACATAGCGTGTTCGCGTTCGCCACGGACGGCGAACATATGCGATGTTCGGTCCGCCCCCTATTAATTTACTAATACTAAGTAAAAATTACTTAGTATTAGTAAATTGTGCCCCTACTCGCAATACCGCCTGTGGCTGCTCACTGTTAAAAAAAAAAAAAGGTTTTCTCCTCCCCCCGTCCCCCACCCCTGAGCGGTGGGTGGGGGCCCTAAAATTAACAATAAGGGGTGACCTATTGTCCCCACCCCGGCCCCCACCCCTGAGCGGTGGGTGGGGGCCCTAAAATTAACAATATGGGGGGGGACCTATTGTCCCCACCCGGCCCCCACCCCTGGGCGGTGGGTGGGAGCCCTAAATACAAAGGGGGGGGACCCTAGTCACCCCTCCCCCCCCAAAAAAAATTAGCTCCCTACCTACCCCCATCACCCTAAAAATAATGAGGGTGGGACCCTTAACTAAAAACCTGTAAAAAAAAATTTTAGATAAAAATAACTTACCATTTGATGTTTTCTTTCTTCTACAATCTTCTTTTTTCAGCCCCAAAAAAGGCAAAATAAAAAGCCATAAGAACCGACGCAATTAAAAAATTTTTAAAAAAAACGAGCGCACAAAAAAATAATCCATCTTCACCCATGGAGGGCTCCGCGCAGACTGAGCTCTGCAGGGTGGGGGAAGGCTTATAAAGCCTTGCCACGCCCTGCAATTAGGCTAAGAACACTCTGATTGGCTGGTTTAAGCCAATCAGAGTGCTCTTTGTCATTTTACACAGCGTGGAAAAATTCAAAAGAACTTTCCCATGCTGTGTAAAATGACACAGAGCACTGTGATTGGATGGCTTGAAATCCATCCAATCACAGTGCTCTGTGTCATTTTACACAGCGTGGGAAAATTGAACTTTCAACATGTATGGTGAACAAATATTATTTATTTTTTTTAAATGGTATAATCAGATGGAAACATAAAAACACATCAGAAATGTGACTGAGCTCAAGCTCAGTCCATCTTTCTTGAGGGACCAGTACTCTGTTCCCACCTCAGCCATTATCCACTGTAGTGTGAGTGGTGAAGGGAACAACCTGATACACGTCCCAGGAGCGACTGGGCCTGGCATTGGCATCTGTAGCCAGGAAAATCACTGAGCATAAAACCAAGAGCTAACCAAAAATGTGTCTCACTAATACCCAGTAAAACATATAAAACAAAAACTATATATATATACACACATGAATATATATAAAAGGAAAGCTCTTGCAAATATTATATACAATCATAATTAATAAATGAAATATATTGTAAAGCAATCTAGGAGAAAATAAACACACAAATAGTGTAATACAGCTAGGAGCAATACAAGGGGAAAGGGGGATGTAGAGTAAATAAAGAATTCATTTTTCTATTTCTCTCCTTTCTTAATTTGTGAAAAACATTTTGTGATGCCATAGATCGACAGAGATCCTGCAGGAACAGAAATTGTATCACCTCAAACTTTAAGGACGTTCTGCCCTGTAAAGCCTCTAGAACCACCATTCGGTCCGATTGCAGGGTAAAATGAATCAGGAAATTGCAAGGAGCCTTAGTCGGTGCCCTAGCTGAATCAGGTAATCAGAAGAAGCTGTCCACTTGTATGCCCTTGGTTTGACATTGTGGTACAAGAGTAGCCATGAGTCGTCTAACGAAGTGTGGCAGTTCCTGCAGATTTAATGTTTCTGCAATGCCCCAAATTTTTAAGTTGCTGCACCTCAACCCATCATCAAGGTTATCCATTCTGGTCTTTGTTACCCCTTATGAACTAACGTTGGTGTACGAGCTCTGTGGTGCTTGCTTTTCCTTTAAGTTATGGAGGAGATGACTTCTGTGGAAAACGTACCTAAGCCATGAGCTCCTGGAGGAGCTTGCTAGCTAGCCTCCTGCCCAAGAACTATGGGCCATATCCGAAGACCTTGCTCAGGAGTTAAACCTCCCCAGCCACCATTAGCAGCTTTCCCTGGGTGCCTTTGGTTCTGCACTTTCCCTTCATTCGAATAGAACCAAACATTAGCTCCCTGGCAGCCATTCGCATGAAGAAACCCATGAATTGTCCTCAGCTGTACTTAGTTGTGAATGTTATGGAACAGTTTTTGGCATGAGGTGACTGTGCGGCTCTTGAACAACTTGGTCCGGGGTTTTGAACAACTTTACAACCCGCGAGGAGAGTGCTTTTTGGAGGGAAGGTGCCTAAGACCAAGGGGCACTAACACTACCTCAGAGCCTGAATTCAAAAAGGGTTCAGAGGGATTTTCCTTTTTAGGTTTGCTGCCCAACTGTTAATTAGCGCTTGCTAACTACCTAAGAGCCAGCCGGAGCACCCTATATTTTGGACGCAGGATCTCCCGAAAATTGACCGGCCAAAGTACCAACCCCCTTAGAACTGTTTTGGGCATAGGACCACGTGTGTGGCTGGTCAGAACTTTACTTGGCGTTTAACTGGCGTTTCCCCTACACTGCACGGATCTGAGCGCTATTTGGAGCTCAGATCAGGGCTATTTGGGGATGTATTATTTGTGGGGTTATTTTTTGTTTTTATTATGTTTTTTGGGTATTTTTATGTTTTATATTTTTGTGTTGGTCTCTGTTCCTGGGAGATAATTAGCTTACTGGTCTTTAATGAAATTATCTCCCAGGCACAGAGATTTATGGGTGGTGCTTGTCTTGCATTGAATAGAGACCCCATGCTGGGGACTGTGTATAAAAGCAGTCAACTTGGCCATAATAAACCACCTTTACAGTCTTCTTTCAGTCTCGACTAGTGTTTGGGTGTACCAGCTAAACAGCTATACTCTCTACAGGAAAACTTTAATAACTAGAAGCTGGATCCAGGACCCTGTTCCAGTGAGGGAAGCGACGGCAAGACCCCAGCCAAGCTGCGGGGTCTAGGGTCCCAGCAATCGCCAGGGAGCATGCTTGGCAGAGGTACCCAGTTGGGGTACCAGGAGGACTGACACAACTTCCTCTGTCACTAGCACTCTGTCAGTTATCCCTGTGAGCTCTTCACGCATGACAGCCAAGTCAGCATTAAACACTACCCGAAAATTTTGTAACAAAGCCGTTATGTCACCATATGTGACTGGAGCCGTTAAGTCTTCCTCCTGCAGTGGTGCATTGAGGCCTCCAGTTTGAGGTATTTCACCTGGTGAATCGAGGATTTCTTCCTTGGTGGAGGAATCACAGGAGTCTGTCCGAGCCATAATTTTGGTTTCAGGCCTCTATTGTAGCAATGTATTTATATCTTGGGAGCCTTCCCCCATGAGAGCTATGAGTGTCTTAATCCTCTTCCTCATCTGCTCTACTCGATCTTCTTTAATTATTTTCCTCTTGATTACTATTAATACAATTAATGAGATATTAATAGTTTTGTTACATAAGCGTTCAGTTTTCATTTATTTTTTTCTAGCAAAACACACTGTCAGTACATGACACGGTCAGTACATGAGTACATGGTCATTATGACTAATTAGGATTTGTCAGAGGATGCGGAGCACTGACCCAGCCTAAGGGAGATTGGTGCTGGAATCGGGTAAGTGATTGAAGGGGTTCTAACCCTTACAGGGCGTGTGGGAGTGGGAGACCAGAGGGGCATGATAGCATTAGGAATAAACTTTTATATTCCTAATGTTATAGTATTCCTTTAAACAAAGTGATTTAACTCATACAATTCAAAGAATTGAGCAGTGAGCCTACAGGAGCATGATTTCTACACAAAAACTGCATCATTAAGCTAAAGTTGTTTTGGTGCTTAAAGCGTCCATTTAAGTGAGGATGACTGGTTTGGTGAGAGTTCACTACATTTTTTTGTTGCTGCTAAAAATGCAGTAACTCATATCAGAATAGCATTTTTTTACTTATTGTTTTTGCATATTTTAGAATATCTAATAATAAGAAAATGGGTCAGCTCCAGCCCAAAGGATGCCTGATGGATGAATAGTTGGCAGTCCATATTTCTTATGCAGAGACGTTTCAAGCTAAAATATACAAGTATTTGTTGTTTGCCTGCAACACGATCACATTTACAATCATATTTGCATAAAAAACAGCTTTGCATCAAAGGTGCTACGTAATGCTTGTTGTAGGTTATGAAAACCTACAACAAACACCTACAGCATCACTATTATCTATGTGTAATTTGTAAAAGGTTACACATGGGGACGCTGTGGGCACCATGAGAACTTAATCTCAATTTAATTATCATTGTGTCTAGAGGTCCTGACTGTCTTACCTGAAGCAGGAAAACCATTTAATAATGATTTAACCCCAATGTGTTGTTGATAGCAACTGTCTTCCTGGCCATTATGTGTCCTCCTATTTATGAGATATTATATATACACTGAGAGTGGATCTTAATATTGCGCACCAGCTTATTAATTTTTTTTTCTTTTATGAATCTCATTACTACGAGTTTATGTTGGCTGCTGCAACTATCATAATTTTATTCATATTCTAAATAACTATATACAATTTTGCGCCATCTTGTTCGAATACGTATAATTAACAAACTGCAGTGTATGTAAAAAAGTAACTGAAAAAAAATTGTGAGAAAATAAATTGACTAAATTCACAAAATAGTCAGAGATGTTGAAGATGCTTTGGCACCTATCTGCTAAAGTAGAATGGGGCGGGCAGGGCAGAACACATATCAAAGCTGTTGAATTATTTTGGAGCATTCTTTTTGCTCAATGTTGAATGCATCTAAGTTTTAACATCATGTAAAAAATTAGTTATTGTTAAGAAAGTCTAGGTAATAGATAGTCCTAGTGTTGATGGTGAGGCAGGATGACAGAAGAAGTACATAAACTCATCATTAGTAAGAAGAAGCTCAGAATACATTAGGAAATAATTTTTCAATGGAGGAAGACAGTCGTGAGATTTAAAGTCTTAATTTGTTCAATAGGAGGGGTGAGCTATAGAAACGTAGGCTGGATTCACATAGCATAAAATCATTCTACTTTCAATTTTGTATTTCTCAGAAGACATTGTATGGTAATTTTCTATTATGGGGACTGTAAGGTGGCATTCCAAGGCAAAACAGTAAGGGGTTTACTCTAATTTGTGCTGATATTGAGCAAGCAGTGGGAACGCGTGCATACAGAATTTAAATGGTTAATGCAATGCTACTCTCCCACATCTGATATAGAGGGGTTTCACTTGAAACCTCAGTTGGTAAACCTAAAGATTACCATGGAAGCTGAGAAATTCTCACATAGTGTAAAAACTGTTTGGGCTGATGAGTTATTTTGATGTTAATCTTACTCACTTTATATATTTCTAGGCAGTGCCAACTCTGATAGCTGCACTTTTTATTATACACACAAGAAAAACTGAACAGGGCACTTTCTGCAAATCAAAAAGGGAATATGTGATACAAAAAAATATAAAAGTATATGTACCATATGAATTCTTCTTAAATGTTACTGTAAAGAAATAACCACTCTCACAGGGCAATATAGTGTGGGCACAAAATAGATATAGATATAAAACACTTAAAATAGTAAGATTTAGGTGTCCAGGAGTAGAGATTTCAACTGATTGATTCTCCAAGATATATAAAATAAAGTCACCAACAAAATAAAATAGCTGAATTTATTTAAATAAAACATTAACATTCTTACATGTAAGTAAGTAAAGTGCCACAGTGTCAGTCCCACCAGCGTAGGTGGATAACACGTTTCGACGTCCTCAGGTGCATCCAGGGCCGGTGCAAAGAATTTTGGGTACATAGGCGAAGATGCATTTTTCCGCCCCCCCAAAAACATCTTCACCCATGTGCCTCTTAACCTCCCTTTTGTGTTTCTTATCCCGTCTTTTAAATATCTGACTCCCTTTGCCTTTGTGTGTCTCCTATCTCTCCTCTTTGTATGACTCTTACATCCTCCCACATTTTGTGTCTTACTCCTCCCAGCCCCTTTGTGTGACTCCTTTTCTCCCAGCCCCTTTGTGTCTCTTTCCTTCTCAAGCCCCGGTGTGTGTTTCTTTCACATCCAGCCCCTCTCCCTGTCCCTTAATGGTCCCCTCCCTTCTCTGACCCTTACTGTACCTCTCCCCTCTCTCCTCCTTTTCCTGTTCCTCAGTGTTCCTTTCCCTTCCCCCCTCCTTTCCCTGTCCCTTAGTGTTCCTCTCCCCTCCCCCCTCTGTTCCCTGTCGCTTAGTGTTCCTCTCCCCCTCCCTCCTTTTCCTGTACTTAGGGTATCTCTCCTTAGGGTATCTCTCACAGACACTGTCCCTTGGTGCGCCACCCACCCCCATAGTGGTCCCCTCCCCTTCCTGGTGTGCCTCCTACCTTTCTTGTAGCGTGGCTGAGCGGAGCGAAGTTCCTGTACCACGGTACACTCCGCTTGGCCACGCTACAGTCAGGGGTGTATAAACACTGACAGTCACACACACTCAGTGACAAATACACAGACATCTCTGACAGCCAGACTCACTTATCTGACACACTCATTCATTGACAGACACTCACACGCACACTGACAGGCACACAAACACTGACAGACTCATTGACAAACACACACTGACACACACACACACACACAAACTCACAGACACTGACAGACACGTACTCACATGCACACACGCACTTACTGACAGACACACTCACACACACTGACAGACACACTCACACACACTGACAGACACACATACACACACACACTGACAGACACACTCACTCACACACACTGACAGACACACATACTCACACACACACTGACAGACACACATACACACACACTGAGACACACTCACACACACTGACAGACACACTCACTCACACACACTGACAGACACACATACTCACACACTGACAGACACACTCACTCACACACACTGACAGACACATACTCACACACACACTGACAGACACACATACTCACACACACACTGACAGACACACATACTCATACACTGACAGACACACTCACTCACACACACTGACAGAACCATACAAACTCACAGACACACATACTCACATGCACACACACACATTAATAATCTAAATTAAATTTACATTTCCCACCCAGCCTCCCTACCTGGAGAGCTGGCGTGGGTCTCTCATTGGTGGTCCAGTGGGGCTGCTGGGAGGCGTGCGGCTGAATTGGATGCCGAGGGAGCTCTGATCTCTCTGATGTGCTCCCTCGCAGGCTGCTTACTGCTGCCGCGGGAGCCGGAATATGACGTCATCAGTAAACAGCCTGCGAGGGAGCAGATCAGAGAGATCAGAGCTCCCTCGCCACCTCGGCATCCAATTCAGCCGCACGCCGCGCCGGGGATCCAGGAGGTGACCTGGCAGGAGGGAGCACTTCCCTCCTGCCGGTCACTGGAATTTTGCGCCCCCAGAGCCGGTGCGCCCTAAGGCGGCCGCCTGTGCCGCCTTATGGACGCGCCGGCCCTGGGTGCATCCGAGGAAGACGGGTACGTCGAAACGCGTTGTCCACCTTTATGGTACTGCTTTGCGTTACTGCTGAAATT